GGGGGGGGGGGGAAGAGGGGGATAAAATCTGTCAGTGAAAGATAATCTTATGGCTGCTCTTGATTGTGTTTGAATTTACTTTGCTATCAGCACCGACATAAAAACCCAACAGCTGAAGATAAGAACAATCTTGCCTGCATTTCGTAATCGCTGGGGAGATACATGAGAAACTACAGGAAGAAAAGAGTGCTGTGTTACTGTGGTGTCAAAAAAGATCTCCTCTGGTGAGTGGGTTCCTGTTAGGCTTCCAGATACTCTGGTTCTGCAAACTTGGGTGGTCAAGAACCTCAAGCAGTTGTTCAAAGCACTGTACTATGAAATCATTCAGATAAAGTTAGCTTGTCATGGAATAGGAGGTAGAAGCTAGATCTTCCTTCCTAGCGTTTGTGTCTTCTCCGGAGAACAAACTCTTCAGTGGGACTGATTAGGAGTGCCTGGTGGTACTCTGCTTTACTAGGTTATGCTTCTAGTTGATGGGTCCTGAAGGTAGACTTGCAATTTTAAAATCGATAGGACACACTAATCACACACTAAGAGTTAATGATGTCAAAGGTATGGAGTCTGGAAATAAAACAATCTGATTTATTAGATTGCAGATTGGCTTCAGGACAGAAAACAGACTAACCAAAGTATATATTTAAAAAAAAAAACAAAAACAAACAAGGCTGCTTGGAATAAATCTTTCTTATTTATTTATTTACTTTTAAAAAGTGGAGACATGCATTTTTAACTCCTTGTAATCGTAGTACCGTTCTTGCTGTGTACCTGTCTGTCTTAATACAAGGACTGGATCAACAGAGTTTAGACACAAAGCAGCAGTTAATGATTGAAATTAAAAATTTGAGCTGCTTACCTCTGGAGCTGAGGTCTCTGTGCACCTAAGGAAATGCTCTAAGTGGTTGGTGCTTGGGCTTCTGCAGACAAACTGCCCTTTCTTCATACACGGTAATTTGCCTGGCACACAAGGCCCAAGTTACCTAGTAGTTTTCCTGTTGATATTCATGTGGTTGGTTATAGTGAATATGTAAAAGATTTCTTAGTTCTGTACAGAAAAGGTCCTCTCTAGGAACTGGCCTGTTGGACCAGTTGTTCCCTCAACAGAGCCTTAAGCTGTGGATTTGTTTAAACTTTATCACTATGTGCAGCTCTGAGCCAGTCTTGTACTTTGCTATGTGAAAATATAAAGTTTCCTCCTTATTGCTTAATTCTTCATACTCCAGGGAAGGTGGTGGGAGAGGCTAATGGGCCTGATTGGGAACGACAGAAAAATGAGATGTACAAATGAGGCAGGTGTAGAAGCCAGGGAGGGGCCATGTGGTACATACTTATGAGGAATGAGCAGGGAACAGATCATGTGCCTGTCAATGTTATCTGCAATGCACAGGACAGCTTTGCTGGCAGCAATTGGAAAATACTCGTAATGTGTGCATAATTGGTATATGGAGGAAATTGGGCACTTAAATGGATGACTAAGCTGGGACTTTGAGACACAGATTGCCAGTGTAACTTTAATGGGTGGCAGTATCCTCTTCCTGCAGTGGCTTACAAAGCTGTTTTTGGAAAGCGTGGAGCCACCCAGAGAGCTGGCTTTGGTTTCAGGAGTTGCAGAGTGGTGGCATGTGTATGGAAGGTGTTGGAAGATGTGTGAGACGATGCAGGAACAACCACAAAATCACGGATTTAAGGCAAAAACCAAATTTAATCTCAATACCTCATGGATCAGGGAATCTCTAAAGCAGCACCCGGGCAGAGGCGGGCAAGCAGGGGACACAAGCACCGCGGAGCGATTGAGAGTCCTTGTTAGCAAGGCAGTGAGAGAGCAAAAGAGCTCACATTTGCTGTTCTGGCCTGTGTTTCAAGGATTCAGGCAGGCAGAGTTTTCCGCTGTGCTTTGATCTCTTCAACAGCAGGGCAAGAATCTCAGGCATGTTCAGTAAGGTGCCCCTGAGTCCATCCCAGGCCTACATTATCTAAGTGCAGATGTTCTACTCGCAAGCACACAAGACTAAACAACAATTTGTGTGATATATGTGTTTCCCAGCACCCCAGGTGTGAGTCACTTGAGCATATTTGCAATCCTCCTCACCAATCTTCCGTTACTTTCCCACAGAAGAGTATGAATGGGTTGGAGCTGAAAGGTCATGGAGACTTCCTTGTGCCTGAGGAGGTTTGAGTGATGTTTTCCTGGATGCTCTGCAGGCTGAGGAGGTCACCATGGCTACACCAGATTTCCATTAAGACCTTTTCTCCCACTGCTACGTAGAGGAAGGAGACATGAAAGAAAATAGCAAGAGCACTTGGAGTAGGCAGGGACATTACTAGTATCTGTTCTTGTGCCAGAAAAGGCACCTCCCAACTTGAGGTGCTTGATGCTGAACTAGGACTGCTGTCTTCACCTGGGAACTTCTAGATGAGCGAATTCATGTTATAATAAAAAAACCTGTGCCCTTTCAAGGGAGAGTGGGGTGACAAGGGCACCCATGGCATGGTATGCTTCGGACTCTGTATCACTTAAACCCAGCCCTAACTGGCTATCAAGTGTCACAGTATGGCTACTGAATACCTTGTGGTTGTCACTTGTTCCATACATCCTGTTTCTGTGCATCCCATTAGCATGACCAAAATCCTAAAATGTTACCCAACAATGTAGTTCAAAAGGGAGGAAGTTCTCTTAACCTAGTTTTAATCCCATTTAGAAGAGAGTAGCAAGAGATGGACAAGAACAACAACTTTGAGGTGTCTGTTGAGACCTCTACGCTAAATTACTCATGGCCACAAAGCTGTCTTGAAACTCCTTTATTCAATGAACCTTTCTAATTATTTTCTTTTTTTATTAAAGCAATGTAAATGGGAAGAATACTCTCACTATAACAAATTTTAACTTCCCTCTGGTATTTGCATATAAATCCGAAGTGAATAAAATCAAGGTTAGTATTACCAAGGGCCCACCCTAATTCAGGGGAAAAAAATAGTTGAATTATATATTTTGCTGTTTTAATATGTATGTTTTAATATATATGTATATATATGGACCTTCATCTTAAGTAATGTGGAAGGAAATAATCCATTCTTTTAAACTGAAATTAGTGTGATTGCTCTGGCTTACTGGAAGTTAAAAAAAAATGGACTTAAAATCTACATTTAAACTACTGAGAGAGAATTTGGTGTGCTTTTAAAGCTGACATTGGCCTGTACAAGTAGATGACTAACTAATTTCAGATTCTTCATCAAAGAGCTAGAAAAACTGTTTGTTTTGTTGTTGTTTTTTTCCTTTCTAATAGTGTATTTACATGCATCTGATCTTGCTGGTGCTCAAGACAGACGTGTATATTTTACATAACTTACCTGAGCTGAGTCTAAAGGTGAATGAAGACTATACTGATAACCAGTAATTAATCTCTTCACAGTGAGCTGTCTGCAATTAAGGATTCATAGATCAGCCAAAACAATGGCACTTATTCTAGACATAAATCTATTTAGACAAAATTGATCTACTATATGTAAGTTTGACAGTCCAGTCTCAACATGCGCTGAAGCTGCATATTAATGGTGAAAGTAATATGCTTTTAAATGCAGTTCCCCTTGTTTACCCTCACGGTCTCTACCATCAGGAAATATTAACTTTGAGGGTGTGATACAAGCTTGAAAATACAATTCAGATGTAAGGTTTACTGTCCGTCACTAATGCATGCTAATGCGACCTTGCTGCATAATGCCATATGAGGAAGGCTTTCACTACTTTCTTTGAACTACTTTAAACGTCACCTTTGAAAATGCATTTGAATTGGGTGTTCTCTCTGCTGCATAATATCCAGTAAACTAGGGTATCTCTTGCTAGCATAGATTGGTACTTGCTCACGTTCAGATAAGGGTGTTAGTACCTGAGGAAAGGTTGCTAGACATGTGTTTATATTAAATAACTCTTAAATACCAGTCTTTCTATGTTTTGGATCATTCTCTTGCCAGGAGACACAGGTCCCATCAGGCTGTTGCAAATGTTGTCATCTTTGCTGTGTGTGTATGTCTCGCAGAGAGGGCAGGTTTCAGTACCAATGTTCCCCATTTTGCTTTAATCAGAAGGTTTCACAGTGTTATCTTCCTGTCTTGTTCCAGGCTCCAGCCAAAAAGCCATGGAAAGAGACCATTTATAGGGCGGGGTAAAATTTTC